TACATAGTGAGTTCCAGGCCAGCCAGAGCTACATAGTAAGACCCTGTCTCAGAAAAAGAAGGAGTATGGGGCTGGAGAGATGACCACTATCTGCTCTTCCAGGGTTCAATTCCCAGCACCTACATGGCAGCTCACAACTGCCTGTAACTCCAAGATCTGACACCCTCACACAAACATACATGCAGACAAAACACCAATGCACATAAAATAAAAATGAAGCAGTTGTTTAAAAACAGGAGGAGGACGTGAAAAAGACCTAAAAGACCAGACTGTAAGTGTCTTTCATAATACATGATAATTAGAAATTCACAGTACTTCCACAATGACCTACTGGGAAAAGCAAAAGGAGTTCCTCAATTGGGAAAATACATAGCAACAATTCCTTCCAACCTGAAGGGAACGCATTCTACTTAAACCACCGCCTGTGCTCCAACACTTCAGAAATAAACTCAGCTTCGGACTTATCTCAGCTTGCCGTCAATTCTGAGACTCATTCTCGTGGACTTAAGAAAGCCGGAAGATACTCATCTTCAGCAATGACTTTAGACACCATCCCAGTAACTACCCTTAGAACCCTCTAACAATGTTTCCAATTCTCGTCCTTTCTCTCTTCTAGTTTATTCATCTATTTAGTATGTGTTTATGTGTATGTTTGTGTGCCAGGGAATGTAGATGGGAGGTCAGAGGACAACTACAGAAGCTGGCTCTGGCCTTCAATCGTGTGGGTTCTATGCACTGTACTTATGTTGTCAGGCTTAAGGCAGGGGCCTGTACCTGCTGGGTCATCTTTTTTTATCATTTCCACCCTTCCCTCTACCGATTCTAAGTCCTCTCATGCCCCATTCAATTTATCATCTCTTGTTTGTTACATATGTACATGTATGTATGTATGTATGTGTGTATGTATGCATGTATGTATACATTTTCTAACTGCTGAGTTCCTTTAATTTTGCTTGTACGCATTTAGGGATTTAGGATGAACACTTGATATTGCATAACATATCAGAGGGTTCGCCCCTGAAGACTGATTCTCCCTCTTTTAGGAACCATTACCTGCCTATAGCAAGTCATCTAGGGGCAGGGTCTTGTGACATTTTCCCATCCACACTGGCATGTCAACTGGTGCTGTCATTATACAGGTTTTGCTTATAACCATATTGTTGAGATTTCATAGTTGCGGATCCTTTTCTGTAGAGATAGCATCTTGCCACATTCATTCTGGTCCTCTGGCTCTTTAAATCTTTCTGCCTCCTCTTTCATGATGCTACCAGAGCCTTAGGTGTACTGTAAATGTATCAGCTGCTGAAAATGTGTCAGCACCTGACAGTCCACTGTTCTCTGTTTTGACCAGTTGTGTTTTTCTGTACTAGTTTCCTATCTGCTGTAAAAAAGAAGCTTCTTTGATGAGGAGTGAAAGCTACCTTTTTCATGGGATGCTAACGCAGGGGCTACATAACCAGAGTGAGGCCTGAGAGGTTGTGGATGGCACAAATGGGAGAAGTTCTCTCTTAAGCTTTATAGATACTTTGAAATTTGTCTAGGACACTTAGCATTTTCTTTAACATAGCTCTACATAATTAAGAAAGGAAAAGAAAAGAATTTTTTTTCCTACCTAAAAAGCACGCAGTCTCCATGATGAAACATGGAGCACCTTGGGTTATTAAGATACTTGTTTTCAGGACTGGAATGAGATAGATCAAAGGTTAATAGCCCTGATTGCTCTTCCAGAAGATCAAGGTTCAATTTCCAACACTGACACAGTGGGCAATACCGTATGTGTAGCCCCAGTTCCAGGGGTTCTGACAACCTCTCCTGGCCTCTGCAGACACCAAACATGAAGGTGCTACACAGATACACATGCAGGCAAGACACCCACACATGTAGAAATAACTTTTTAAATTCTATCTTTCTTAACATAGATGACTTTATGAGCTACTTCTCTCTCCTGAGGATTGCTTTCCTACCTACTAAGCTTCATCTATACTAGATCCTAAGAATGGGCTTTCCTACCACTGATAAGAAAATATCCGGCCTTCCCATGCATAAAATGCGATGCATGGCCTTCAAGGTGAACTATAAACTGAAGTTCACAGAGAAACTTCACAGAGAAAGTTCACAGAGAAAAGGTCAGCGTGTTAAAATCTCCAAAGGCAAATGAAGAGTGTGTGAAGATAAAATAGTACCGGCTGAGAGCCAAGTTTCTCTTGGGCCTTCTAAACGAGCAGTTTATTGCCCACCTCCATGTGTGACCTAATACTCTTTGTGACTGTTAAGTCCTTTTATATTAGTAAACCTGAAAAAGTACAAAATGTATACTGTTAAAATTCTTCCCTTAGGTAGTGCCCCTCCACTCCCTGATTGTTTACGTTTAAACTTCATATTCTCAATAAGCATTTACAGTTTGCATCATCCAGAATCCAACAGGTCCACCTACAAATGACCCTTCCACATTAGGTGTCAACAGGAAGAACCAAGCATACTCATGTGACCAGGGGCAAGAAAACATCTATTAAACCCCGAGTCAACAGAATGAGAAGGTTTCAACATGCTCCAAGGAAATGTAGCACCTGTAGATATACAATCTAAGATTACGTCTGCATATTTGGCCTCTGCCCAAATCTACATCCCTATTCAGTATGGCACAGTCCAAGACGCCTGACTTGCTGCCTCTCTACTCCAGGGAGAAATGTCTTGAGAAGCTGAGGCAGACAGACACAGGAACAGCTTAACCTGGGCTCTACTCGGCTTTGGCTGTGCACACATCCCTACCTGTCCTAGTTTGTTTTCTATTGCTGTGATAAAGAATACAACCCAAACAAACCAACTTTGGGAGGAAAAGATTTACTTGGCTTACGCGTTACAGTTACACAAAGGCAAGGCACTACCCATCAAATGTTCCAAAGTATAAAGATGCAAATTAATGTGAAAGAAAAACCCTCAACTGAGATTCCAGCTGAGGGGGTTCTCTGCTGAAGAGGTGTTTCCCTATAGTCACCTCACAGAAGCTGACGCTACTGTGGTGCAAGTGGGCCAGGCTTCATCAGAAGATGGAAGAAGAAATTGAAACTCAAAGTGTCATCCAGGTGGTGCTAGTTTGGGGGGCATGAAAAATGCCACGACTGAGGAGACTTGCACCATGGATCCAGAGAGCCACTAAGGACAGACATGCAACACAATAACGATGAAGCCCAAGTTGCAATGGAGACGTCAGGATGATGGAGAGAGTAGCCGTCAACCATGAGATGTGCAGTTTTTTTAAAAAGCTGTATATACAGAGTAGAGTCAGCCAGTCCAAGAACGAAATTTTGTGTGCTATGGGCAACACAACTTAAAGAGAAGGGTTACCTAAGCCCTTCAGATTTGAGATGATTCCATTAGAGGCATCTCAAGGCGAATACAGTTTCAGTATTTCGTGAGTTCCTCAGCTGGATTTTGTTCTGTGTGTGTGTGTGTGTGTGTGTGTGTGTGTGTGTGTGTGCAATTAGTCCTCGGAAATACTTCCATTCTAGAAAATCTTACCACTATACCTCTCCTATCCCTTTTTTCTTCTCTCCAGCCATCTATCTAGTTTCCGTACACACACTTGTCCCTATTGAAGAAGTGGGTATAGCATGCTAACACTCTGCCACTGCCTTTTAATTGGCATATGTACATCTATATGTAGAGTCCACACTTAAACTTACAATTGTGTCACAGCTTTCCGGATGCAAATTTTTTAAAATGATACACAAGGGCTGAGGATGCAGCTCAGTTGTTACAGCTTGCCAGTCCAGGACGAAATCCTGGGCTCCATCCCCATCGCTGCCTAAAACTGAGCTTTGTGGCTCAAGCCTATAATCACACTTCAGAGGTAAAGGTAGGAATATCCAAAGTTCAAGGTCACCTTCAGCTATCTACTTAGTTCTAAGACAAACTAGACGCATGATAACCTGACATAACACACACACAAGCCAGGCAGTGGTGGCACATATCTTTAATACCAGCACTTGGGGAGCAGAGGCAGGAGGATTTCTATGAATTTGAAGCCAGTGTCTACACAGTAGGTTCAGGTCAGGAAGGTCTACACAGAGATACTGTGTCTCAAAACACTTCCCACCCCCTCCAAAAAAAAAAAAAAAAAGGAGAGAAAAAGAGAAGAAAGAGCAGAGGAGTAAAGTAAGCCTAAAATGACCTGAGTTTGATCCCCTGAAGACACAAAAATGAAAAGGAGAAAACCAACGGCAGAGGATTGTCCTCATTCCACCAACTATCACACACATTTTACAGTAATAAATTATTTTTTAATGCATTGCACACTCAAGCCCAAAAACGTTCTCATGGGAAAAAATAAAGGTGTCTGTCTCAGGCTGACCATCCGGGACTCTCTCAAAGGTCAGGAATTACTGTCTGCATAGAACAAGTAGTTGAAGGAAAAAGGTGAACACTTAATATTTTCCCAAGAACTGTACTCCGATTAGATACTGATTGACAAGCTCTCACTCTCAATTCTTTCTGTTTGGAGAAGCAAAACAGATTACAGTTACATCAAGCTTTTTTTTTCCCCACAGCCAACAAGGCTAGAAAAGCTTTTCAAAATCCCACTTTTTGCCTTACAAATAATCAAGAAAAATTATTTTGACTTGCCTTATTATTAAAAAGAGAAGGAGCGATCGGGAGAGAGGTCGAAAGAGATTTCCAGAGGAGAAAAACGCCCTCTGCACACGAGGAGTTTTGGCCTAGCGCGAATAAAGCCTAGTGGTCCAGTTGGCAGTACAAAAAAGAAAAACACAGTGTGACCACAGAGGAAAACGGAAGCGCAAGGGCAGAGAGACGAACAGCCGCGCTCACACCCACTAGGGTTCGCAGCAGTTCGGGTTCAGCATCACCAGCGGCCAGCGCTGCAATTTCTGCAGGGGCACAAGTTCAAGGCCCGGTCTCACACCGAGAGGACTGGACGGAGCCGCTTCACACAAGCGGGGCAGAACTGGACGCCGGCCTCCACACACCCGCCACCCACTCACCATACTCCGTGTCTGGCGCATCCCGCGTCCTCGCCACGGAGCCTGCGATCGGAAGACGTGACAGTCACCGAGGCTGGGCGAGCCCCCTCACCGCCGCTACCCAGGCTCCAAAATGGAAGCAGGCGAAACCCCTCGATGACCGGCGCTTCTCATTGGACAGGGGAATAACAGCGTCGTAGATTGGTGAACACAGCTCCCCGGACCCCGCCATCCCGAGCCAAGCTGAGGGAAAAGCAGCTTTCGTGCATGCTAATGCAGCTAAAAGAAAAGAAGTGATAGCTGTAACTCATGACCCTTTTAGTCGGAACAAGCCTGGCACCTGAAGATTCGTGGCAAGTAAGGAGAAAAAAGAAAGAAAAAGGAAAAGGAATAGCGCTGCAGCTTTACGGCGGAGCTTCCAGACTCTATACCCCAAGGGAAAAAAGCCTAGACGCACCTTAGGAAGAGTCCCCCTGTCGATCTGGACCCAAGAACAGAGAGGATCTGACATGCAAGCTCAAGATGTTGGGATGAGGTCAAGCTACGGCTTTCTCACACCTTGTGTTTCAATCTTCGCTTTCCAACAATAAAATTAAAACGTATCAACAAAGAGTGCAATTACACAAAACGTCTGGAGAAAAATGGAATTACATGGCAGACGCATTCTACGAAGGATACAATAGGTATGAAAAGCAACCTTTGAACTTCAGACCAAGAGATTTGTTTGTACAAGGCCACAAGGAAATTCTAAATTGAAAAGTGTGAATGTTCCCCACCTTCCAGATGACACTAATTTTGGACCAGGAGTGCCACCGTGGGCCATTTCCTAATGATGAGGCAGAGAGACGCCAAACCTTGCTTTCTCTACCATGAGATCAACCTTCCAATACCTTAATTTTCACAAACGGAAAAATGTCATCCGCATTCAAATTATGGTTTTTGGTTTTGTTTGTTGTTTTGTTTGTTTTTGAGACAGGCTTTCTCTGTGTAGCTCTGGTTATCCTGAAACTCATTTTGTAGACCAGGCTGGCCACAGAGATCCGCCCGCCTCTGCCTCCTGAGTGCTGGGATTAAGGGCGTGCACCACAACACCTGGTTCAAATTATGACTTTAACAAAATAACCTATCAAATTCACAAAACCTTTTCCTAGGGCCCTACTAAAAATGTCTTTAAATGTGATCTTCACTGGAGTCCTTCACAAAGGAAGGAGGGAGACAGGGGGAGAAGGAAAGGAAATGAATGGAAACACGGGAGGCAAGGAGGCGTTGACTGGGGAAGGAGCACAGAAGTGGACAAACGATGGCTGGGAAAAAGGAAACATAGATACCAGAGTGCATCGCACACCTACTGTGCTGGCGCAGAGGGAGCTCTGCTGAGGAGTCCCAGCTGAAAGATGTTCCTCATGGTATTTTCAGCTTCTTGATACTGAGACAGAGCGTCATGCGGTTGGGAACAGAATCTTAAAGTACTTCCTTCCAGATAGCGGCCATTGTTAGGCTTGAGGGAGAGCACAGATGGTGTGGAGTTCACAGCCACCACATGATTTCCACATGTACACACCATGGTGTGTGTTATATTGAGTCTTATATTGACCTCCGCTGAGATGAGTTCACATTACACTCGGACATACACACAAATGAACTGTATTGTTTGACAACATATGCATGCTTTATACATACAAAGATCTAAAGTAAGGGTATCATTGTGCCAGTGTGAGCACAAAGGTTACCCTATATGGGGGGAGAACTTTGAACAAACATAAGGAGCTAGGTTCCTTGAATTATGGTTTTATGCTTCTTGACAGAGGATGGTCCTCTGGGGTGCACTTGAAACTATTCACTATAGAGGACATTTGAAGAGGTGGTTACATGGACTCGTATTCCCACCTACCTTAGAGGCTTAAGTCACAACATTTGATGAGGTCCAAGGTTGAACAATCTGAACAACATATTAAGACTTTGTCTTGGGAAATAACAAAATATTTGAGAAATATATGTTTATTTCACAAATAATGCCCTTAGTAATAATCTCTGTCTTTACTACCAAGTGGACTGTCAATTTTTATAATAACCTAATCTAACACAAAACACCATGAGAAGTGATAAAGTCAAAAGAAGAAGGTGGTGAGGCAAAGAGGATGTTGGGCCATTTCAAGTACATTTTTGAATTTAATGACCATGAAATACAGTATAACAGAAAATGAGGCAAAGCAGGAAGAATTTTGAAAATGAAGGCTCAATTTGATCAGAAACATTTGTTGAAGATGCTATTATTTTCTCCAGTTCTTTGTCAAAAATTAGGTATCCATAAGTGTGTGAAGTTTATCTGGGTCATCAGCTCTATTCCATTGACCAACATGTCTGTTTTTATGCCAATGCCATGATGTTTTTATTACTGTACCTTTGTAATACAATTTGATATCTGGGATAGTGAAAACTCCAGTGATTCTTTTGTTATTCAGGATTGTTTTATCTATCCTGGATTTTTTCTGTTTCCATATAAAGTTGAAGACTTTTATTTCTGTGGAAAAATGTGTTAGAATTTTGATGGGGATGAATCTACAGATTGTGTTTGGTAGGATGGCCATTTTCTCAATGTTAATCCTACTGCGCCACAAGCGTGGGGGGGGGGTCTTTCCATCTTCTGGTCTGTTCTACAATTTCTTTCTTCAGTGTCATACACTTTTTATCATGCAAATCTTTCATGTGCTTAGTTCATAATCCCAGGATGTTTTTGAAGCTATTGTGAAAGGTGTTGTTTCTCTAATGTCTTTCTCAGTATGTCTGTAATTTGTACATAGGAAAGTTACTGGGTTTTGTTGTGTTAATTTGGTATTCTGCTATTTTGCTGAAAGTACTTATCAGCTGTAGAAGTTTCCTAGCAGAATAAATAGGGTTGTATGTTTAATATAAAATCATATCATCTATAAATATACTTTGGCTTCTTCCTTTCATATTTGTATTCCCTTGATCTCCTTCAGTTGTTTTATTGCTCTAGATAACACTTCAAGTACTACCTTGCACACAGGAAACTAGAATAGCTTTTATCTGAGAGACTTCATGCAGCAGACATCAGAAACAGATGCAAAGACCCACAGCCAAACATTAGGTGAAACTCAGGGAGTCTTCTGGAAGAGTTGGGGAAGGACTGAGAGAGCAGGAAGGGTCAAGGACACCACAAGAAGACCTACATAGCCAACTAACCTGGGCTCATGGAGGCTCATAGAGAACATGCATGGACTAGTCCCAGGCCCCTTACACCTATGAAGCTGATGGGCTGCTTGGTCCGCAAGTGGGTCCCCTAACAATTGGAGCAGGGGCTGTGTCTGACTTAGACTCTGTTGCCTCCTCTGGATCCTGTTTCCTTAGTAGGGCTGTCTTGTCTTGACTTAGTAGTAGAGGAGTCACTTAGTCCTGGTGCAATTTAATATGCCAGTGTGAGTTGGTACAGGGAGGGGGGGTGAAGTGGAGAGGTGGGTGGGAGAGTAGGACTGGGAGAAGAGAATGTGATTTGAATGGCATGTAAAATGAACAAATAAATGAATTAATAAAAAAAAAAAACTTCAAGTCCTGTATTAAATAAGTATGGAGAGTGAAAATGTCTTATTCCTGAAAGAAAGCTATTTATTTATTTATTTATTTATTTATTTATTTGATTTTTTTTTTTTTTTGAGACAGAGTTTCTCTGCGTAACCTTGACTGGCCTTGAACTCAGAGATCAGCCTGCCTCTGCCTCCTGAGTGCTGGGATTACAGGCATGTGCCACCACTGCCCAGCTTATTCCTGAGTTCAGTGGAAATGCTTTGAGCTTCTCTCTGTTTAGGATGCTGTAGGCTTGCTGTAAAGTGCTTTTATCATGTTGAGATATGTCTCTTATAGCCCTATTCCCTCCAGGATTTTTAGTATGGAGTGTTAAATTTTATCAGTGCTTTTCTGCATCTAATAAGATAATCGTGTGATTTTTGTCTCTCGGTCTGTTTATATGTCAGATTGCATTTGCTGGTTTAACTGTAAATCATCTCTGGTATGGAGCCAACTTAATTGTGGGGAATCATGGTGAGGGGCTTAAAGAAACTTATTGAATTTTTTTCATCTATGTTCATATGAGATATTGATCTGTAATTTTCTTTTTTTAATTGAGTCTTTGTGTTGTTTTGGTATCAGGGTGATAATACCTTCACAATAAGGAATCGGAAATGTTCCTTCAGTTTCTATTTTGTAAAATAATTTGGGGAGTATTACTGTTATTTTTCCTTTGAAAGTATAGTAGAATTCTTCACTGAATCAATCCGTCCCTGAGCCTTTAATGATTGGGAGATTTTTAATTATTGCTTCTATTTCACTACAGTTTATAGGTCTGTTTAAGTTGAAGCAGCATACAGAATGGAAAACCTTCTACTTACCAACTATACATCTGACAGAGGTTAAGTGTAATATATATATATATATATATATATATATATATACATATACATATATACATATATATTCATATACATCAGACAGATATATATATATATATAACTTAAAAAAGCAATCTTGAACATCAAGAAAACAAATAACCCAATTAAAACGGGGTACAGAACTAAGCAGAGTGAGCTCATAAGACGAAACACAATGGCTTTTAAACAAAGAAACGTTCAACATCCTTAGCCATCAGAGAAATGCAAATTCAAACCACTTGAGGATTTCATCTTGCCCTAGTCAGAATGGCCATGACCAATAAAAGAAATGAGAGCACATGCTAGCAAGATGTGGGGAATGGGAGCACTTGCTCATTGCTGGTGGTCATGCAAACCTGTACAGCCACCATGTAAATTAGCATGGAGGTTTTTCAGGAAGCTGAGAAAAAAATGTATCTCACTATCCTCCCATGTCATTCTGAGCCACACACACAGGACTCTATGTTTTCTACAGAGATACTTATCCATCCTTCCTCTTTGCTGCTTTAGTCATAATAGCCAGAAATTGGAAATGGCCCAAATGTCCATCATTTTATGAATGAATAATGACAATGTGGTATATTTGCTCAATTGAATACTACTCAGCTGATAAGAAAAATAAAATCACAAAATTTTCAAGTAAATTGGGGGA